GCATCTATTGTTTTGCCGGGTTTAGGATTAGGTGTTGAAAAAAACCCCTTTTCTTTTATTAAACCTTTAGATTTTATCGCCATATGATATGAAATATTGAATTCTTCTTACTGTCCAATTTGATGGTAATAATGTTAATAATCTATATTTGTTTGTTATCGAAAGCTGTGGGAAATTGATTTTTAAGGTATCGAGAATTTCATCGAATTTTTCATCATTTGATGAAGATAATGGTATAATTTTAGTCGCTAAAACTTTTTTCACGCTAGATATTTCTTTTCACGTAAGCGTTTTATTTTAATGGGAGATTCCCCAATTGATTGTAGGGATATATTAATGTTTTAATTGCCTCTTGATTAACTATATGAGGAGGAGAATCATTGTCATTATAAGGAAGCTTTGCTAATTTTTGTCGGCATGAAGAGCATATTTAAATTGATTGGTAAATTTTTTTTGGTCATCCAAGGTTGAATCTTTCTTAGATTCTTGCGATAATATGCATGTTTTTGTAAATTAAATGGGTTACAACATCTTGATATTTTAATATTTGGTATATCCATCTTTTATATAGAATAAAATTTTATTTAATGAACCTAGAATATGGCTTGTTTAAAATTAATCTGATCGGAAAAAAAATTATATTAAACAGAAAGAGAGATTGTTTTAAACTTTTAATTTTTTAAAATATTATTATCGTAAAATATAATCGATAATATGTCTAATATAAATTCTTTTTTAATGCAGCTGTTATACATTATCGTGCCAAAAAGTCATTCGCTATTATAGTAGTAAAGCAGAGATCTAAAATATGTAAAAAAAATTAAGGATGGTGGGGGTGGGGGAGCAAAACTGGAAAATTTTATCGCATTTCTTATAAACTTATAAATATTTTCATTTTTAGGAATAATATTTTTTTAAACATTAGCGCCATCTATTTTTTTTACGATTTTTGATAAAAATGTATATTTTGGAAGAGTCGAAAGCGTCGCCAAGGTTTTGACATCATTCATATATTTATAAAAGGTGTCTAAATAAATAGCAATAAAAAAATTTCGAAAACAAACTCCCTTTTTTGCTTAAAAATACAGGTAAAGCATTATAGGTAAACCGGAAGTTAAAGACTCAAATTGGCTCCAATTTTTATTTTATTTTGATAGTCCTTTAGAGATTTTTTTTACCTACAATATGATATATTATATTATTTTTTACTATAATTAGTTCTTGAGATATAAGCATTTTAATAATTTTACAGATTCCAAATTGGCTCTTTTTTGTACCTATAAGCCCCTATATCTCAAGAACCAGGTGTGCTAGCGAGCTAAAATAAACGGCTTTCTCTTTTATTTCCCCTTCTAAATAATTCCAGAAATTTTTAACAATTTTAAAAGGGGTCGGTCGAAAATGGGCCTTTTTTGATCGATTTGACATGGAATGACCCAATATAGTAATAAACGAGTCAATTTTATTCATTAAATTGAAATATTGTATTAAAATGTATACAGACAGATGATTATTAAATTCATAAGAAATTCTCCAAATATTAAAATAAAAAATTTTGGGAAAGTAATGAAAGAAAGAAAAGAAAGATCACTTAAAGTAATAAGAAAGAAAGAAAAGAAAGATTTTATTAAATTCTTAAGAAATTCTCCAAATATTAAAATTTTTATATAAAGCTAAAATATTTAATAAAAAATATAATTTAATAATTTTTAAAAAAAATATTTAAATATTTTTTTTAATTTAAAAAGATTCCAAAAAAAACGTGGGGATTCAAGATCGGGATTCCGAATCCCACGAGATTCCATATCCCAATACGACAAAACGAATTTAAATACATATAAAAAAATCAATCTCAATTAACAATTACTTATTATGTAACCCAAATACTTTATATTATCTTTGCAAAATTCACTTTTTTTTATATTTTCAATCAAACCAAATTCCATCATTCTTTCAAACACCTTTTTCAATTTTTTAAAATGAGTATCCTTACCAAAAATTAATAAGTCATCGATATAATAAATGACCCCATTTATGTCAGCAAATATTTCATCCATGGTCTTTTGGAAATAAGAGGTTGAAACTGTAAACCCAAAAGGTAACCGATTAAATTGATACCTTTATGGGATGGCACCATCAGAAACTTAGAAGTTTCTTTAGAAACAGGAATTTACAAATACGCCGAGGAAAAATCTATTTTCGAAAATAACTTGCTATTTCCGACCTTAGCAATTATGTCACTTATCCTTGGCAAAGGATATTTAAACCTTTATAACTTTGGATTTACTGTGACTCTAAAGTCAGCACAAACTCGCAGCATTATTTTTTTTTAATCAAAACTAATGGTGTAGCCCATTGTGAAAATCTAACAGGTGTTATTATACCCTGATTACGCCATTGCTCTAGCGTGCTTTCTAACTTCTTCTACTCTCCTGGCCTTAACAAATTTTGGCTTAGAATCATCCTTTAACATAATATCTGTCTTTAAATTTTTAACTTTACCTATTTTATTATTTAAAACACAATCAAATTTAAATTAATTTATCAATATTAAAACTTGTTTCAGAACAACCTTCTTCCGTATATATTGACGGAATTAAAATATTTCCTTTATAAATATTATCCTTATTTTTACACGGATTGTTAAAAGTTAAAAAATTTAACTTCTCTCCTATCTCTTGCTTATTAATAGTGTTAATATCAAAGTAATTATATCAAATTCCTTGATCCAATCTTGACAACATGAAGATGGTCCCTCCCCATCCAAAACATAATCTAAATATTTAATAATATTTAACATCTAACCTTATAATTTCTGACTTGCCCAACGACTGTGATGGGAGGACCTTCATATGAAAACAATTTTCTCGAACAACTTTTCAACTCAACATCTTCATAATTCGTTATCTTTAAAAATCTTTGATGGGTAAAGATGTCACAGGAAAACCAATATCTATCATCAATGAAAAATTCAGATTATTTAATTGCATGTCAATAATAAAAGCATTCATAAAATTAATTTTATTTATTGGCCTCAGATTATACGGTATCTGTATAATCTCTTGTTTTTTGAAGTTGTTGTTGTTGGTCCCCTTAAAAACATTCTTATTTTCTTTCCATGCCGAACTGCCTTGCCATTCCGCTCCATCATCTCTTCTCCATGAATCTTTCTCTGCCCAGGTTTTATATCTGTTATTTCCATCGATTGTCATTTGACCACAATATCATCAATAATGTTTAGATCCGTCGTATTTTCCTCTATCAATCTTGCTTTAAGTTTTTCATTACGACAATTAATCATGAATTGTACCGAAATCAATTCTGTATTCAGCTCCGAACCACAGCTTTTAAGTCGATCCAGAAATTCTCTGGAAGATTCCAGTCTGTTCGGTTTTGAATTAAACAACTTAAAGATACGTGTAATTTTATTCTTTTCAACCTTTTTTTCTTTTAAATCTTTCATTTGTTGATACGTTAAATGTCAATAATGCTAACCGCCATCTCTTTATCAATCGTTTTGAACAGTTTGTATTTTTTTGTGGTTTCATCAGCAATATTCTCCGCTAAGAATTTCAGGTCCAATGTTTTTAATAGAACTTTGACTTTGATATAATTTCTATCCTCCACCATTTTACAAAGTAGGAACGTTACAATAAAAATCGAATTCATGAAAAGTGAGAAAATTGCAATAGAATTCTATTTAAGAAAATTTCATATATATAAGTTTTTCTTTTTCAATTCATATGTATATATTTATTTTTACAAAATAAATTTCTTTCAAAATAAATTGAATCACATATCACAATTGAACAAAATGCAATTAAAAATATCGCCTTAAACAGTAAACATTAAAATACCAATCGAAAATAAATTATTGAAACATTAAAATAAAATATTATTTAACAACAATTATAAATATGTGAATAATGGAATGAAAATTACAAAAAAGGATAAAATTTTATGTGACAGTTATGATTGGGTGGTGCCTCAAACATGTGTGGAAGAATCAAGGGTGATAATATATATTTCATAAAGAACTCTTTATCATATCAATATTTTAGGATATGAAAATAATTGAAATGGTAATAAACGAAAAAATAATAATAACAAAACCCTTTCAAGATACAATTTTTTAAAAATAAAACCAAAATATTAACGACCCGATGTTCAAATTTAGGTTTCAATTCTCATTAATCTTGATGTATCACATTTCAAAAGCTTGGATATAAACAACCTCGCTTCTCCTAAATGGAAATTTGAATACCTCCTAAAATGGGTACTAGTTTAATATTACTTAAATATTCATAAGATAAAATAAAAAATCTAATTCTTGAGTGTATTTTTGTATGATTGGACGTTATATAAAATAAAATTTAAAAATATTAAAATCAAAACTAAAAACCAAATGAATTAATCAAAAACTAAAATATACATAAATATAATCTCAATGCAAATTATAGTTTTGGTTTTCCCAACCCTTGCCTCACAAATTAAAATTAAAATTGCAAAAATTTGAAATACAAATAAAATAGACTAAAGTTATATAATACAATTGGCTAGGCCTAACTCTCATTTTGTCAGAAATTAGTAAAAATGATTTGTTCGGCCCAATATTTTTATTGGTTTCAATCTGGCCCAATTAGTTGAAAAATGTTTAAAAAAGTTATATCTTATTTTTAAATTTAATACATGTATTAATATTAAAACATGAAATTTGCTAATAAAAAATAATAATAATATGACTATCACTAAACAATTGGCAAAAAATGTAAAGCTTTTACGGTAATACACTTACGATAGTTATTTGCTGTAACATAGTCGGGGCTAGCAAATTCATTCGTGATAATGTTAACGCGGTATATATTTTCGCGGTTGCGTTGATGCCTAGGAAACCACTCGAATTAATTTTTTAAATGAAAAGAGGAAGACTTAAAAAAAATATTTTTTGCAATTCTATGTTTTATTTTCTATTTTTAAATAATCATACGTTATTGTAACAGGCTCTAACACGACTGAACATATCTTGGAACAGGTTCTCTGTTTTTTATCAACCGACTCTTTAACCCCAAATGGTGATAATAAAAGCATTAACAAAAACAAAAATGACGATGATAAAAGGTCTGTGCCGTTTTTTATTGACATCGAAAATCGTGAAATCGACCAAAAGCGATTGTATAAAACTGACGAGGATACACTCTATGTGCTCAGGGTTAAAGATAAGCGAGACGTACTCTACGCGAAAAATAGTCGCTTTGCTGCTGGCGACCTTCAAGGGTTGTTAAAGCCAACACCGCTGCATCGTTTCTATTACGTACGGGACTGTGTTCGCTCTGGCAAAGATGTACAACTCTACCTCGACCAGTTATCCCTCTCAAATTCTATTTACATATTCAACGAATCTAAAGAGAAAGTTCCTTTCGTTTACTTTTCACCGCTGATCCAACATATAGACGATGTAATATCCAAATTTATAAATCGTTACTCGCGATTCATAACATCACCGAGAGAAGGCTACCCTCTTGCCCCGGGTGCCATTCCTATATCTTATTACACTCTCTCCGTTATTGCTGATACCCTTAACAGTTTATCGCTTAAGCTGGCTGTAAGCATCCTCTATACTTAACATCAATATTAGGATATTAACTAAGATCGATAGCATATTTTATTGTTATTTAATATTTATGAGAGTGAGTTAGTTGGATGCTAATTGGGAAATAAAATTAAGTTGGACGATATATGACCACCTTGAATTGTAATTATATTAAATTTTATTATAAAATTAGTTATTCCTAATGTCCACATGCAAGGATCACATTTTTTAAAATTATAGATTTAATTGTTCTATCAACTTCAAGTTGAAATATAATAATAATTTATATAAAAAAATATTTTCTTTTAATATTGACAACATTTTTAAAATTATACATAAATCCGGTGTTCAGAAGCAACTGAATTTTCTTGGGACTCAACCATGGCTTTATCCTTATTTATAATATATCATGGTATTTTTTAATGTTTTTTATTAAATAATAGCATACATGTTATATTTAATATATTTTAGTAAATAAATAAAATGACCCTAAAATTGTTTTATTTAAAAATTATATAATACCCAAAGTGATTTCTTAAGATCATGAAATTCCTATTATAAAATATAAAATTTATATTGTATATCATTTTTTTTCCCACTATTCCAGAATATCGCTCTCTCTCCAGAACCTGGCTCGCTTCTTTATCGTCCAGCCATAGCTCTAGTCCAAGCGGTGAAGGCGGCTATAGTGCTGTCTGGATACCGCGACGCGGAAACAAACGAGCTAAATTCTATGGTCGCGCGACTCTTGCATGCTTGTCGACGTGATAACATGACGGATGCACGAGAGGTAATCCAGATTTCCACTCAACTCAAGCAGGCTACGGTCGATATGCTCAATATGTGTTCTAGTCTGACCGAGTTTCGACTCGAGATCAATGGTAACTCGGCCCTGGCTAACCAGGAACAGGAGTACCTTGTGGATGTCGGAACAATGGAACCGGCAGTAAAAGAAAAGAATGAAGGAAAGGAATTGATCATTGATAAAACAGGGTTCTTTTACTTGACGGTAATGAGATATATTATTATATACTAGCACTGACGGGTGAATCAGATGTTTCTCCTTCGTTGATGATGGATAATTTAGAAATTTAACTTTTAGCCCACAATTTTTTTTACCTCTTTATTTGTAATTTATGATCGGAAAAATTTAATATTGATTTTGCCAACCTTATTTTTTATTGCATACCTTATTAACGATCTATTATTGCCCTACAAAACCTGCATATTATTATAATAGAATATAAATTACTCTTTTTATATCTAAAAACTATATTATAAGATTACTCGATGTAAAGTTGATAGATATTAGGGATGCCAGAGGCTTTAATTTAGTCGGGACTTCCCGTTTGAGATATTTTTAGATTGTCCATATAGGATATCAATGCACTTTATTCCGAGTAGTGTTGTTAAACGGCTCGATTTGAGCTGATTTTTAAAGGGCTAACTCAATGTTTTAATCAGAAAACAATTACGCAAGCCTAAATATTTTATCTCATAGATTGGAACAAAGGTTTGGACATCTATTAGCGAATTTTCGAGACTTAGACAATATTTTTCTGGCAAATATATTGAGTTAGCCGTTTTTAAAAATCGACTCAAATCGAGCCATTTAACAATACTAGTTCTTAGGTATAAGGAAAAAAAAAATTTCGTCCAATAATTCCGGTTTCACTGAAACTATAGCTCATTAACACTTAATTAACAACTCACATTAGCTGAACACCAGAGCTCCCATTAATCAGCATTGCGTTAAAGTGAGAGGTGAATTTTAGGCGAGCAAAGAGGGAAAAAGATGGGATGAGTAAAAAAAAATAGAGATATGAAAGAAGAATTCTAAAAAATATATTAAGCATTTATACTTTAAGACTTGACGGTTATAGATTTTCAACACGCTCATATCTGTAACCACATTCATATCCCCGTAGAAATTTATTTGATAAATCTAGACCTGAATTTCTCTAAATGCCAAAATCAGTATTTATAAAAATTTTGCCTTTGTAAATATTATGTCATATAGCATTTCATATATATTCTTTCATTTCCCCACCTTATTAGGGGGTGTAACATTAAGACTTAACTCATGTTGATATAGCAATTATATAATATCTAAAAAATTTGTCTTTATCCGCAGAAGGCTTAAATTTTTTACCTTTTTATTTGTAATTTATGATCTAAAAAATTTATTATTGCTAGATGAGAGTATGCATACCTTATTTTCGAACGCATACCTTATTGTCAATTTCTGAAAAATAAAAGAGATAAAAAGCGACGTAATATATTTTATTTTGGAAAAAGAAAATTTTGTATACGTATATTTAATAGATTTTTATTCACACATATAAATTATGACAATTCAATAATATCTTAAAATCTCCATCAAGATTAATTAATTCAAAGAAAAACATTTTCTTATTTAAGTGATACGTGATTTATTTATAGTGCTTTTTCCCTCTATCATTGATGAAAAGAAAAAAACATTAATCAATGTCAATAAATACATGGTGAAAATAACAAAAGGTTCATTTCCTCCTATAATATAATATTTTTTAAAACCAAGTATAAATTTATCAAAGTAATGTGGCGTAAATTATCGAAATCAACAGACAAATGAATATTTGATTGGCATATTTTATAAATGATTGTATATAAATGTAAAAGTGACGATGCGAATAAGGAAATATATTTTTTTAAATGCTTAAGTGTATTAAACAGATGTATTTGCCCTACAAAACCCTCATCTAGCAAGATTAAATTATTAGGCCAAAAATTGCAAATATTAGTGTATAAAAATGCATTTAAAAGTATTTTTATATTTTACTTACACACAAGGCTGTAGCCAGGAATTTCTAGGTGGAGGGGCAACTGTTTACTTAGAAGGGCCAATATTTTTTTGAAATAAAATAAATATTTAGGCAGTCATAGAATTTTTTTTACTCATTTTTATTAAAAATTTATAAACAACGATTTTAAATTTTAACATAAATGAATTAAAAGCTGGTATCGACTTAGTAGCCTTTTTACTACATAGCCTTGATAATTTCTGAATATTGAGATTAAATTTTATTATAAGCTTCTCAGCCTTAATTCATATCAAATCAAAAGAATTTTCATTTATATTTTAATATATTAATTGTGGAATCACTTATCCACTATATTAGTACCTTCTGACTATAAATACTTATTTAGTGGATCTATTGTTATTAATACTTCATAAATTAAAATGGCCAATATAATGGAATTTATATTAACGCATTGAGATAAAAGACCAGGGGCTTACTGAATCATGAGTGGAAACTTCTGAGTTAAGAGTTCTATTAGAAAGTAAAATAATACTTCACCAATAGCACTTCTTATAAATGATATGATATATTTTTAAATGACCAGTCCACCTCTAGTTTAAAATTCTCTTAAGAGAATGGTCTATATATTTACAGGAAATGTTAAAACTCCTAAAATAATAATACAATGCATTAGATAAATAAAAAAAACTAGAAATGAAAACAATATTATTATATTAATTTTGAACCACAAAACTTGTGGTTGTTTGTGGTTGTAGCAACGTATATAAAAACGTTTCATTTTTTTTTCAAGCAGGGTTTATACACTTCCATTTTAGCCAGATATGACGTTTGTACATCATATACCTGGCATTATATTCGATGAATTAACATTCAATTCATTAAGTTGCTTTAAAATAGAATTAGTAATGCTTTCAGCAGAAAGGCATTGTAAATTAATGATTCCTATTATATTTTCTTGGGTTTCTCCACAAAAATATAATGAATATTTATGCTTAGGTTTTCACAACTTGTTTATTAATTTGTATAAATTAAATAAAATAAACAATATTTTTCTATAAATTTAATTGTATTTCATTTAGATTTAATCTTTAATGGTGAATTAAAATTTTATAACTAAAATTTTCGAGGGGCCAGATTTGGGGGCAAAAAAATTTTTCTGGGAGGGGGCCCCGTGTCTACGGTCCTGTTCATAGACATTTTCAGATGTTATGAAATCAATATATTTAAAAAAGTTTATTCACATCAATGGTCTGCAATGTCTGAAAATTCCTGGCCAGGCAAAAAATAAAGTAGCTAGGCCATGCGAATTTTTTTATATATATATTGGATGAATTCTGAATTTCATAGAAGTTATAATTTATAAAGTATAGTGTTTTTAATTTTACCACTTCCCAAAATTATAAATAGTTTAAAAGTTTATTTTAGTTCAACAACATATATTTTGATTTGGTCTTTGTATTTAAAAAAATTTTAAAACAGGGTCAGACATGGCAACCTTAGTAAAAATTTAATCTGGGCATTAAATAAATTCTCACCGGGCCGGGTCTGGGAATGCTGCCATTTACAGACCACTGATTCACATGTTCCAATTATTAGTTTATTGAAGGTAATAATAGATATATACTTCATTAACGCATTCTATGAAAATAATAAAAAATTTTAAAATAAACTCGTCAAAACAAAAATAAGTTTATGATTCACACCTCATAAAATACTAATTTCTGATTCATCCATTATCAAATAAACGGAAAATTTCTGATTCACCCATCAAAATTAGGAGAAATATGATTCCTCGTTTCTTGATTGGTTATCTACATGTTTAAATAACTCTTTTTTTATCTAAAAAAAACTATGAAAAGAGGAAAGATATTAGGGCTGTCCGATGCTTCAAATAAGTTAAACCGTGGGTCTTGAGATATTTTTTTTATTGTCCATATAGGCCAGTAAAAATGTACTATTTCAATCGTTTAGCCACGCATTGAAAAAACTTTGATATTATTCTTGAAAGTAAATATATACTTTATCACATTACTGGTTAATTTACTTGTTCAATAATCAGAAGATATTTTTTTGAAATCATTTCCTTTCCAAATTGTTCAACAAAATTCGAGGATTTGTTGAAATAGCTGATTGAGGAACATTTAATTTAAAAATCTATATTTAAAAATCTAATAATATTAATGTTATAAGGCTTTCTGCATTAATTACACTCTAGTTTTTGAATGAGAATAATAAAAGGTAATAATGGCATGAAGATTTAACCAAAATATAATATAAGATTTGTTTGCCTAATTACAATAAGCCTAGCACAGCCAGAAAGTTCGTATTTGATACGGTGTATCCCAGGTTTGAATCTGGTGGTTGCCAAAAAATTAACATTAGTTTATATAGTCTCCTTAAATTTTAATACATTAAGATGATAGGAAGAGGGTAATATTTCGATTATGGAAAATTCAATGCCATGATACATTTACCCCGGTTTTTAACATGTTATTTATCTCAAATAATTTATGGCACCCTTAATTTTATATTATCTGATTTTGCCGGAATCGTATTTCAGCATGTATTGAGTATCTCTGAATAAGGAACGCCATTCTTTACTTGTTTTAAAGGGTAACGAGTAATGCATTTATTTTTCTTGAGTGAAAGTAACGCAGAATGTTACTCTTACCTTAAATTTTTTCTTAAAAAACATGGAAAAATAATATTTTTTAAAAATTTTATAAATAATTTAAGCCGAGTTTTTAATTCAGATCAAATTTCTTCATTTTTATTTTATTTATTCATTTTTGTTTTTAATTTTAAACAGTCGTAATTTAAATTAATATAGAATGAATCATCAAGGTATGTTAATTTATATTTTATAATTTATTTTAGAATAATACATTTTTTTCAATCGCCGGGGTGGCCTAATGGGTTAGATGTATGCTTGGAAACAGAAATACGAACAAGGACGCAGGTTCAATCCTGGCAAGGAGTACTCAAGTTTTTCTTCGATGACTGATGTGTAAAGACATATGGTATGATGAATTTCGGAGCTTAGAGATGACACCACCGGTCACCAACAGGCCTGGACAGCCGGGTGCTAAGGATACCTGTCCAATAAACAAAATGAAGGAAACAAATGGAAATGTGAATATGAAAGCTAGGGCGTTCCCGGGTGTAGACCTCCATCCTGTGAAAAAAGTAAAGGTCAAAGCAAAGA